TCTGTTGGTAAAAATCTGACTGACACTGAAAAAACCACCGTTTATTAAGTATCTGGCACTTCTGTACATTTGACTGTAGGCTTTCAACACAGAAAGAAATCATATATTTTCTTGTTCAAGCCAGTGATTCTTAATGGATTTTAGAAATTCTAAATATTACAAAATTTGGAGATTTCTTCTATTGTCTTCTATTAGACCAGAAGGTGCTGTGCACTTTCTACTCTTAACGAGAGAGATGAATGTATAGATAAATATAAATTTTACTCTATTCTTCTATGTGACCAGCACGCATTTATTTCCTGGTTAGTATAAGTTCACAGCTATAGTAATACAAGAGCAGACCAGTACATCTTTATCACCAAAAATGAGCTACAGTTCGTGAATGTGATTCAATGAGATAACAAAAACATGTTCTACAATGCATATATAATCTTTCTCTTGGTCAGGATACATTACTGGTACCTCAATGACTTAAATAGGTCCTGTCAACTTTACAATACCCACATTCCTGCAAAAGTGGTAGATTTTTCATCAGTGACGTTCATTTATTTCTACCAATTACTGAAAAACTCTACTGATACGATTTTATGTTTTATGAAATGGACAGAGGTCTCTGATATTTTAGATCAATTCAACATCGTGAGATGATGCATTACTTCCATGGGTGTTTGGAGTTTGCTCTTCACCTTTAATAGAATGGATTGTCATGCTAGCAGAGAAAAACGTTCTAAATATGTTTTGAGAATAACTTTCCCCATGTTATTAAAAGTCTTGAATTGCCTGTCATCCAGGGATCTAAGCATCGCTATTGTGTGAGAAGCTGGTTCACTAACTGTCGGTTTTGGAACTGAAAGATAATTTCTAAAGAGGGCTCTGACTGCTTAGTAGAATAACATTTTGTCATTTTGGTACTGCCAAACCCTTATTAAATATTGAGGACAGAATAAAAGCAAACTCATGCTTTAGCGCATTTTTTATTCAACTTATTGGTTTTTGGATATAGCAATAGATCGTGTTTTGTTTTTGGAACTCTTTGCAAAAATTATGACTTTGGAAAGTAGAACTGGTTTCCAGAATTCACAACCCAAATATTTTCCACCAAACGATTTGCCTTTTTAAACACAACAAATAAAAATTTTCTCAATTTCTGAATTTACATAAAAAACAATCTCGACATTGAATGCATTTTTGCCATTGTTCAACTACGACATCAACAGTCTTTGTAATGTCCTTTTTAAACTTGGACTTGATCATTTTTCTGCTTATCAAAATAACATTTATAGTTGTGCAAAGTTCGGAATGCTGTTGACAATTCACCAGCAGTATGTCTCGTGTAGTCACCAAACTGCAGATCTTTTGCAAAGAGTGAATCCAGTTACACCCCTTGGGTTTTGTACTCCCGATTTATTGTTTCTTTCCAAAGCCTATACAATTGAAACTTAGTTATATTATCTGTCCATCGATCTCTTATTAACAAAGACACTAGCAGGTAAATGATTGTATACATCAGGATGTTGGTAAATATTTCAAAAAAATGTCTTCCGGCAGCTTGCAGCCAGAAAGTTGTCTCACAGACTATATTCATGTGTACATCAAAATCAGCATTTTATTTCGTTCTGCAGAGAGAAGGTGAAAAAAAAAGACACCTGCTACTTCCATAAGGATGTTAAGGAATGTACTCTGTGTTTTTTACTTTTCATTCAATAATGTAGATAACAAATTTTTGATTCAGTGGGACGTCAGATCAATAGATATCTTATGGACATCACATTTTATAGTTATATATATTAAATAGGAGAGTAGTATTGTTTGTCAAGGAAAGTAGTTCATTCCTTATATTTGCCCAATCCCAGTTAAAACTGAGTAACGATCTCGCATTGCCTCAAAAATAAGTGTCAAATATCTTATTCCCCTAAACAGTTATTTATCAGTGATTATCAGATGAGCAATGGCACCAGCATAAAGCTTAGAGTCAGTGAATTCCACGATCATCATACAATTTTTCAATGATTGCACTAAATACATGAGTATATGCACACCACATTAACCAGATGGCTATTTTTCGTACAAGGTACTCTGATGGGACTCATCACTTCCTTTGCTTTAAAATGTATGAACACGGCTACAGAAACCAGAATATTATATTGGCCAGTTAGGTTTGTTTGTTACGGATTTCGCGCAAAGCTACACGAGGGCTATCTGCGCTAGCCGTCCCTAATTTAGCAGTGTAAGTCTAGAGGGAAGGCAGCTAGTCATCACCACCCACCGCCAGCTCTTGGGCTACTCTTTTACCAACGAATAGTGGGATTGACCGTCACATTATAACGCCCCCACAGCTGAAAGGGCGAGCATGTTTGGTGTGACAGGGATTCGAACCCGCGACACACACATTGCGAGTCGAGAGCCCTAACCACCTGGCCATGCCGGGCCGGCCAGTTAGGATGCCAGAGTAATCAGGTCTTTGTAAATTATGGACGTATTAGTTGAATTAGCATTTGTGGCCGATAAGTGTCTTATCACAGCCAGTAGAACGTCCACAGTACTAAGTGAAGCGCTATAAGCATTAAAACCTGAAAACGTTTCCTTTTCTATGAATCTCAATATTCGCCATATAAGTTTATGAAACATTAACAATTGGTAGAATTTTGAATTTTCAGCTGATTAAATAGTGCTTCTCCCGTGACAAGTACTGGTAGAGGTCACTCCGTGGGCTTCTTACAGAATTACAATGTTTCTTCTATTTCAGCTACTTTTTTCAGATATTTATTTCGTGGGTGCACCTGAAATATTTCGTGTTTTTTTTTAAAAGCAATGGAACTCTGGTACACAAATCTCAACATAATATGAATTATGCATTTACCATTCAAAATATCTTCGTTTTAGTAAAACAGTTATTGCTTGCAGTATCAATCAGGTGTTTCCCAATCAAATATTTCAATGAGTATAGAAAAAAAACAAGATAGAGAAGTACTATGTATCAAAAGTATTTTTGCTTTTGTCACGTATTAGAATTTTAAATAGCCTGAAATTGAGTTAACCGATAAATTTAAATTTAGTAGTTAAATTGTACTTTGGATTTAGTATTTAAATATATTCCGATATATCTCCAATTTATGATATTTGCCAACACGATTGATACACACAGTTTTCTTTTTTAACAACAAATGTGTTTTAATATACAAACAGCAATAAAATTTACAAAAAAAAACAGTTATTACACACAATTATTTATAAACAAACGTTTTACAAACTTACAAGCAATATAAAGTCTTCTTTCTGGTCTGGAACTTCCTTGATATCTTATCGAGGATTCACGATGAGCTAGTTACTTACGAGTTGATGTAGGTACGATTCGCTTAACGAGGAGCTAGCTAGCTTTGTCCTTCGTTATTTATCGGCCACACACGCTGAGCTCTGCACAATGACATTATATAATGTTTTTGTAAAATTACTAATGTCCAATGAGAATTCACTAAAGCTGCATGATTTGTAGTGTTTGAAATTTATAAATGTTCCTGGTCGAATTTTTGAAGTTTCCCGATTGATAAGCGTTATAATAATCACAGTTATAGTTTCCAAAGTTAACGCACACTGGTTATAGCGAATTAATAATAGATACTTTCTTGGCGCGTCGCGTTGGTTATATTTATAGGCGTGTGGAGGTTTTCTAGAAAATTCAGATTATGTAACAATACAAATTTAAGCGTTTACGTACATACATATATTATTGATTGTTACTCTCGAGAATCTTCTACAACTTTGCAGAATAGTTTCGGGAGTTTCGCAATACATATTTATCAGTATAAGCTACGTATGTTTCTAAATATGAATTTAATCTAAACAAACGTCGATATTAAAATAAATATATAATAATAAATTCGTCACACTTTTATAATTATCTAATAATTAATTGACTGATATGCGATTTTTCTTTACTGTTAGCCTACCAAAATCTTAAAAAAGGATTAAATTTTCTTCTAAACTGAAATTTGTAAAGAGGGAGAAAATATACATAATAATAAAGAAAAATTAGATCACTAAAATTATTGGTTTGTGTTTTCCGATCTGCTTAATTTGAAAAGTTGTTATTAATATCAGTATTTTATACTATAGCTCGACTGTACACATAATGTTATATATACTTTTACTTTAAATTATATCAATTACTCCCATGCCGTATAAGCATTTCAATAGCATATGAATTTGAATGTAAATAAAAAAGATAAAGTTAATACAAAATATTTGAGGTAAAACAAATTTCATTTTATTTCTTTATTTGTGGCACATCCCTCAATTTATAATAAATTATTTGAGATTAAATGTGTAAAACATTTTTTGGTCTTTTTTTATTTCAGTTTAAGAACTTACTTCTAAACTTATTCCCAAATGTCTGAAGCATTCTGCTCTTTTAAAAATTCCTGAATTTTCAATTTAGTGCCTTTGGTGATCATTTTAATTAATATGAGTGTGCTTAATATGCAAAATTCGAGCGAATCCAGGAAAAGCCACTTTATTACTGTAACTACGGCATCCTGTGAATCACACAAAGTACGGTGTTAGTGTACATACATCAGAAATGCGCAATATGTATGAATAGTCAAATTCATTTAAAAAACACTATAGAATGCCAAATGTATTCCAGTCGAATATCACAAAATATGTAATAGGGATTTTCTACTCAATGTATCACAGTTGAATGTTTCAGATTTTTAGATTTGATTTTCAATAATGTGGATTGTACACCTTAAAAAACCGAAGGCATGCCTCTCTTAATTTTGAAGATTGTATTCAGATGTAATTAACCAATATATTTTATCTTCTACACATAAGATCGTAGATAGAAGCTGTATTAGTATTTAATATGTTCAGATTAAGCTTAGAATTAGAAACTTCAATAAATACAGATTCTTTTAACTATGTTGTAATCTAATCTATTGTTTTATTTTCTATTTTTTATAGGTAGCATTTGTTTCATCTTTAGCTGTTGTTTTTCTTTTTAGCAAGACTCGATGTTGTGAAAACCTACATGCGCATGCGCAGAGTGCCATACCACATCCAGAATAAAGTAATTAAATGGTTTGATTACCTGTGGGTGTCTCAGGAGTCTTCAGATGATGATCGCTCGGTAGGGTTTCTTCCAGACAAGCTGAAAGCAGAAATAGCCATTCATGTACATCTAGACACCTTGAAACGTGTTGAAATTTTTCAGAATACGGAAGCCGGGTTTCTGTGTGAGTTGGTGTTGAGACTACGTCCTGTTCTCTTCAGTCCCGGAGACTACATCTGTCGTAAAGGTATTCAATTAGTACAATATCATCATTTGTTTTGAAGTTGTTAATGTTAGAAGTAATAATACGCACGAATTACATCTTTTAGATTAATATAAACAATACAAAAACTAGCGCAGTTGTAATAGACTTTAATTTAGCTACGCCTAACTGTGACACTGAATAGCAAAAAACGTCGAAAACATTAAAACTTTATGATATATCTGTATTGTTATGTCTTCTCTTTTATATCTAATGGAACTTCTAATTAATACAAGATGAACGTAATTAACATATTCATCCATTAGTTTGAATTTTTACATAAACTCTAAACTAGTCAAAGCCGCAAGTGTTTTAGTTTAATCATAAGTTAAATTCATAGACTTTCACCATTATTCTAACGATTCTTTTCAAAGCAGAGCGTGTTTGATTTGCCAACTTAAAAACGCACTACCTGTAACCAATATATCATCGCTGAAGTTATCGTCACTTGTTACGTATAAGAAGATAAATATTAAAGTTGTCTTCTCATTGGTGCACTATGGTGTTAGTTCTTTTTGTTTTTTAACAAGACCACATTGGGCTATGTGCTGTGTCCACCTCGGAGAATCAAATCCAGGAGTTTAACGCTGTAAGTCTGTAAACTTACCGCTGTCACACCCGGGGAAACACAACGGTATTTACAGTAAATTCGTATCCTTTATTTCAAGTCTTGCAACTTTTGAACGAAATAATTTTCACGAAAAAAAACAATTCATACATAATTTTTAAGACATCTAATTATGTCATACATATCTAAGAACTGGTACACCTCCAAATTCTTTATAAGAACCAGCATGCGTCAGGACAAATGACTTATAATTTCAACGCTTCTAGCATTTAGAACTAAATACGTTTTGTAGACCAAACTCACACATAATCTGTCGCGGAGATTATCATAAAACATGTTGACCTGTAGCGGAGATTATCATAAAATATGTTGACCTGTAGCGGAGATTACCACCACCGATCACAATATTCCATTTGTTGTCTCTTTACGTTAATCTTCCTATAAAAATGCGAGAGTGTGTGTAGGTAGTTAGCTAGTTTAGTTTAGTTAGCATCCATCGCCCAGAGGTGGCTAGCTCTAGTACATTTTTAACAAGCGTCACCACATTACTGAGAATACCACACTTGTTTAAATAGCCATGCTTTATTAACCAGTGTCAGCAGCACTTTCTGTTCTGCTTACTCCTGTATGTTATGCATGTTTAGGTAAACAAAGAACTCAAAGAAGTTCAGTATACCAACCAACTAATACATTAAACATAACATTTTAATAAAGGCTAATAAAATAATCTTTCATCAATAAAATTTGTAACTGCAAACCTAGGGATATACAATTAATGTAGTGACACAAACAAACAATAGTTCGGTGTTTAAATAGGATTCCTAATAATAATAAAAAGGAAACTAAACATGAATTAAAGCTTCAAAAATATCAACATGGCCCCTAACATATCTGTGTATAAAAGTAATAGTTTAAAATGCAAATGTAATAACATTTTGAAATATTCAGAAAACATTCACATTATGGAATAAACATTAAAACGAAAGTTAAACATAATTAAAGAAAGAGATTTTTAAAAAGGGGACTAGCATTACAGTATCTGATAGTTGACTGAGGTCAGAAGAAACAAAATGTCGACTTCTATATTTTAGGGGAAAATGGTTGCTATATATATATATATGCATAAACAAATAAGATCATTATAAAATGTCACTATATAACATGTTTAAGCACACTAGCTAAAGAACATTTCACGTAGATTATAATTCTGCTTGAAATGTTTACTTTTTACAATATTATTTCTGAACAAAAGGGGAATCTCCAATTAAAAAGTACAAAAAATGATGTTGTTTCTCATTATTTATCACATTATATAATCTCAGGTTTGAATGTTCGAATGAGATTGTAATATAATAAACAAGATACAGAACTGCATGACACATCAAAATTTCTAAGGAATAAAAGTTGAGAAAAGGATCATAAACGAGAATCAATGGTCAAGTGAAGCAAGACAATAGCTACTGTGAATGTGATATAAGAGGTGATTTTTGGATTATTTAAGATGTGTTTTCATGTACATGGTTTTCTTTGATTCTTGTTAGTTGTGTGAGGACATAGTTACACATGCCTAAAGAAAATTATGCATTAGTTTGGTGTTGGAAAAGTATTTAGTTCCAATAGTTTAGAAGTATTGAGACATAAATCATTGTTATAGATGGCGCAAGTCCGTTTGGATTTCACAGACAATTTGAAGATGTACCAGAGGTTAGTCATGTGCGACATAGGTACATATGTCTTAAGAAAATTATGGGTGGGTTTTCTGTGTGAAAAGTATTTAGTTAAAAAGTTGAAACATAGATTATAGCTGTATGTAGATAAGGCATGTTTGGTCATTTTTACGGATGATGTAAAGAATGCGCCAGTATTTGTAATTTTAACAGAGTTAAATATAGATATATATTATGAAAACTATCCATGACGTTGATTGGAAAAGGTTTTGATTAAAGAGTTATAAGAGTTGAAATATAGGATACGAATTTAACGGTGTATCGTATATGGTAAACAGAGAAAGTTATAAGTATTTATGTTAACTCTGTTAGATGTTGATTTTTATTACAGACCGTGACTGGCAATGAAGTTTTAAACATACTTTTTGCTGAATTAACAGCAGTTGTTCATTAATAAAGATGTTTTTAGCTTCACTAATGATGTGGTTACTAAATATTTGTAGCAGAATGTATGAGGTTATTTAATATAAATATTTTGTAGATATTTTTAAATATACGAAATGATTTAGTATGGACTTTCGGAGATTTTTCCCCCAATTTATGAAGCTCTTTGGTAAAAATTCGTAGGTCTTTCAAAGTGTACAACGTTATTTGGTATGGACTTTCAGAAGTATTTCAAAATGTATAAAGTTATTGGGCATAGTATTTCATGAGTGTTTCAAAATACATGTAACTTCATTAGTATATGCATTCGAAGATTTAAATAAAGGTACATGGTAAGCAGATAACTTGTGTATATTATGAACAATCCAATTATAGTGGCTTCTATGTTAATGTTTTGTCACTTGCAGGAGAAGTCGGCAAGGAGATGTACATAGTGAACAGAGGCCGGCTAGAAGTAGTAACAGACAGTGGAAAGACTGTGTTAGCCACTTTGAAAGCTGGAAGTTATTTTGGTGAAATCAGCATTTTAAACATGGGTACGGCGGGAAACAGAAGAACAGCCTCGGTACGTTCAGTTGGCTACTCTGATCTCTTTCGCTTAAACAAACAAGACATGTGGGATGTACTAAAGGATTACCCCGCAGCTCGTGTTCGGTTAGAAGCTATTGCCGTGAAGAGACTGCAGAAGCATCGGAAAGATCCATTCAAAGCAAGTAGGTGAACTGGATCAAACTAAAGCTGTAGATTACTATTCTCACAAAACAGCAAACAAGAGTCGGTGGTCATTTACTCCGAAGGCTGCGTCTGTTTTGTTTGTTTGTTTATTTGTGTTTAAGTGCAAAGTTAAATGGGCTATTTGCGCTGAGCCCACCGCGGGTATCGAACCCGTATTTTTACATTATAAGCCCTCTGAATCATCTGAGGACAAGCTGCATCTAATAACTCTCAATTAATGGCTCATTAACCTTTGATAACATTTAATCCCTGAAGATACAGGTAGAATAATATCACTTCTAAATCAATCATAAGGAAACATTTTAGTACTTAGCATGAAATAATGAACACAAAGCATAAACGCTGCTTATTTATTGTTTGAACACTTCATTAAATCAGGTAAACACATTAAAAATCTAACAGTTTTTGTGATTTTACGATAATTGGGCTCAGTAAAGTATCCACATTAGCCAGACCTGTTCAAGTAAACTTGAAGTCATATTGAAGTAAACTTGAAGTCGAATTGTAAAATTAGTTTTCTTCTTAAATATCATAATTTTTGCTAGCGTAATTTCAGCTTACGTATCAATTTGAAATACTTCAGTTCATATGCTTATTTTATTTAACAACATTTTAACCCCAATGAAGGAAGATGTGTAATATGCATCAATACATCATTCTATATAAAACCCATTGTATGTCACGTCAAGCTTGATTTCTCGAAATAGGAGGAGTCATAAAAGCCAAAATACATTTATCTAGTTAGAATAGTTCAATTACTATCTGCCCATCAAGATTTTAGTGACGGGGTGCAAGAGGGCCGTGAGGGGGGGGGGCGTGAAACCTTATAATTGTAGTGAGTGTTGGAATTACCTTGCCTAGAGCCAAGTGTGTAAAATTTATCATGAAAGTAAAAATATTGATTCATTTTTAAACTTAAATCGTTTCTGAATTAAGATATTTTATGTTACATCACCAACATTTTTAACAAAAAACAAACCTCATTATTCAACGGAGACTCTAAATTAAGGAATGAACTAATACTTTTACAGGTTTGTTTCTAAACATTTCATTTTATACTTTCAGCACATAGACTAACAACAATATTAGGTTATACTTTTTTTACTAAGCGACATGACATAAAAGCCATTGTTGGAACGTAGCGTTACCAAAACACACTGACTTTTCTATATTGTAGAAGTTGATAATCTAACTGATTTCTACCAGTAATTATTCTGTGAATATGCAACAGTTCATTTCATGAATGATATTAAATTTGATTGGCTCACAAAGGAATTTACCGATGTTTGACTGCTTCGACTGCACTTTTCTGCCTCTTTCTTGGTCGAGCTTGGTTTAACTAAATCTATTTATTTCAGTTAACTATGAAATGTGAGGTTAGGGTATACTGTGGGGTGGGGTGGTAGTACTTGCCCTGCCATTTTTTGAGGGCTATACGCTAGTTTATAATTTATTACTTTTTAACATTTTGCAATGTCCCTTGTGGTTCAGTTCAGATAACCCTTTGTGTAGATTTGTGCAACGTTCCCCGGTGGGACAACGGTAAGTTCTATCTGTGGGCTAGAACAGATAGCCCAATGTGGCTTTACTATTAAACACACACACATAGTTTTTGTGCAACAAGAATAACAACATTCTCCATTCCCTTTCATAGACAAAACTATGACAATGTTAAAGTTAAAGTGTCTGGTCAAAATATTCTTAAGAAGAGGAAACCATTAAAAGATTGATTTCTTTGTCAGTTGCTTACATTTTTTTTTTTTTTTTTTAGTAAACGTCTTCTGCATTGCAATATAGCGCCTATTAGTTTTAACAATGTATTTAACTTATCAGAAAAGAAGTTATAAGTGCTTTCTTGTAAACAGCTAAATTAATCATTAATCAAAATAAAAAAATATTTGCTTTCAAATTTAAAGTCACCCGGTAGGTCAGCTGTAAGTTTACGTACTTTCAACGCTAAAGTCCAGGGTTCAATTCCCCGTGATGGACAAAAAAGACAATGACAAGTTCACTTAAAACGTTAACTTCTTTGGTTGTTAAAGATAATAACATAATTAATCTCGCATGTATCTAGGTAATTGTTTATATATCACAGAAACAGCAAAACGTAAAATACAAATATTGAACATTTTTATCGTCTTAACAATTAAAGGAATATATATTTATGTATATAAAGCAGTTTAGTATATATTGAATGAAAAAATTAATCATAAAGCAAGCAACAATGATGCTTTGAGAGACAAGAAGAACTTTTGCGTTATCTGGCTTGACCTAGCAAATGCATATGGGTCAGTTCCACATCAGCTGATGAAGTTGCAATGGAGTTCTTATGGATGCTGGAGAAGATACAGTCATTTATCATGGCATACTATGATCAGTTCCGCATGTGCTTCACAACTGAGTCTTACTGCACAGATAGGCAGATGTTGGATGTTAGGATACCAATAGGATGCACAGTATCCCCATTGCTGTGTGTTTTTGCGCTAGATATTATCATAAAGGCAGCTGAGATGCATGGAGAAGGTGACAAGAGTTGATGAACACCAGATATAACTGTCATCAAAGAGGGTGAGAAACCAACCAGTGACGTCGTACGGAAACTTGAGGTCATGGCTGTCTGGCAAGAATGAAGTTTAAGTAAAAAAAAAGTAGAAGTCTTACTCTTCACAATGGTAGGAACAAGGAAGATCCCTTCAGAATTGCTATAGAAGTAATCCCAACTGTAAATGAGGAGAGTGTGAAGAACTTGGAGATGTAATCCTCACCACCACCGACTGACTGGCACAGAGGAGTAGAGTTGCAGAAAATAGAAAAAGGCCTCAGGGTCATAAACATCTGTGGGCTAGCAGGAACGTTTAAAGTATTACAGTTTGGGCTGCTGCCAAACATCCTACGTCCACTACAGATCAATGGCATTGCTCTAAACACGTGAAGACAATAGAAAGGAAGGTCAAGGTTTTAATCAAACAAGAAGGAATCATCAATAGCCGCAACACTTGAAACTATTTCAGGTAGAATTAGAGTAGATTAGGCTATGAGATATTTTTTCCTTTTTTAGTAGCTATATATTTGTGCTAGAGCAATACCAAGCGTGGGGCACGCTTATACTCGATTTACTTTTATTACTCATCAGGATCTCTACCAACCTACCATCAAGTTAGATAGGATTAGAGTAAATTAAACTATGAAACCTTGGACGTGATCAAATTCGTCAATCGAAAGGGTTTGACCTCCTGAGTCTAAAACTGTAATTAGATCTCATATCAGTCAAGAGATCAGACATTTTCTTATCCTAATAAACTCCAACAATCAAGTTATTCGAGACATATAGCCTCATGTATGCACTGGCAGGAAATGAATGTCGAGGACACAGTAGATTAAGCTGAAGGAAGGCTTTGCCAGAAGGAGTTCATTGGTACTATACAACGAAGTAGGAAAGGCTTTGGTTGGGGAGAGATTGAGTGGTTCTCAAAAGCAGTGGACTGGAAAAAGAGAGGGGTGTTGGTTGAGGAAGTCCGCCACATGGAGGAGCAAGAATGTGCAGTTGTTGCTCTCAGCCAACTACAGCAAGGTACATGGACACGTTGGAAGAGAGTTGAGGAAAGAAAAATTACATGGAACCACATTGTATCAGCTTCCTGCTAAGTGCAACATACAACACCTTGCCAACTCCAAGTACTTTATCTCAGTGAGGTCTGGTAGATATTGGCAATAGTGGACTGTATGGCGAGACTGACGCTCACGAAGATATACTGTCGTTATGCAAGAGTGCACTCACCAAGATGACTTGGTGCTACGACCATGTTCTCAACAGAGATAGCAGAGGAGCAGAGGGCTAAAGCCAATAAACAACTAGGGATAACTCCATCCCCCATATGTTTATGAGATTTGAGGAACAAGAAGCAGAGAGAACAAACAGGCTTGAGCAATGTGGAGTTATATTTATGAGAAGATTCGTGTTCTGCCAGAACTAGGGTAGTGTTAATTACTGAGGTCAGTACCCCATGATAAGACAATATCGGTGCATCTCATTAGTAGAAGTGAGTAAAATGCACAGACAAAGAAGATCAGTGGCTGCACAAGGGTTCGCGATGCAATTTGTATCCAATCGAGTTTGGTTGTCGAGGCTTTATCGGATAATTTACCACGAAGCAAAAGCAAAGGCCACTAAACTTATAATGAAGGAGGTGGAAAAGACAACAATTTGGCATTGGCAGAAAAGAAATGCCAGTGCTTCTGATTTCAACTGTCTTAAACGTCTAGATGTAGAAGTCGAAATGTTATTTGACGGCAGGTATCTACTGAGGACCAATGTGCTGACAAGGCATGTTTTGCATGTCCTATATGTCATGAAGCACTATAATACTTACTAAATGAAAAGGCCAATACATAAAGTAATATCATACATACTAAATTAAACGACTAATATACAGAACACTGTAATACATACTAAATTAAAAGACCAATACATAATCACTATAATACATACTAAATAACAACACCAATACAATGGCCTCTTGAAAAATGTAATATCATTGTATCTGTGATTATGTAGTGTATAATTAAAAAGCTCGTCATGGATCAGTAAATATTTACCACTGTTTTTAGTTCTTTCTCTGAGTCTTATTATTATTTTGAGCTTTATCGATTCTTAATATTTGTTACTTCCGGTTGTCTTATCCATGTGTGTTGTAAATGAAATAGGTTAGTTAGACGCACCTCATATTATATTTAACATATAATTGTTTATTCCTAATAATTGTTACTTCCGGTTTTCCTATCCATGTGTGTTGTTAATGAAAGAGGTTAGTCAGACGCACCTCATATTATATTTAATATAATTTTGTTTATGCCTAATATTTGTTACTTCCGGTTGTCCTATCCATATGTGTTGTAAATGAAAGAGGTTAGTTAGACGCACCTCATATTATATTTAACATATAATTGTTTATTCCTAATATTTGTTACTTTCGGTTGT